CTTTGATGTCCTTGTAAGTCAGCTCCAATACACAGTAAAGGGGGCTCTTCTAATCCATTCAAAAGCCTCGGTTTTTTTTTTTTTTTTTTTTTTTTTTTTTTTTTTTTTTTTTGGGATGTTTTTGCAAGAAGGGTGTTCTGTACCGTATTGCTGTGCGGTGTTCTGGGCAGCAATATTTCCCATCGAGGGAGCTCTGAGCGTTTAGGGTTCCTGACGGTCTCCCTGTTTTTCACCATTGTGTTTACCATTGCGTTTCCTTGTGTTCGCCTCCCTCCAGTCGCTCACATTGCTACACCCTGACGAGTTTCAGACAGGCCCACATGCCTTGTCATTCCATGCTGGTCCTATCGTGTTTTGCAACGTCTCACCATCAGCTCTCCACCACGACTCTCCATGCGTGCATGCGTGCATGTGTGCATGTGCGTTTGTGCATGCATGCATGTGCATGTGTGTGTGTGCATGTGTGTGTGTGTGTGTGGTGGATGTGAAGTACTTCCCTTCCTTCAACGTCTTTTGAGTCGACAAATGTGTGCATCCTCTCACCTCCACCATGCCCCTTCACTCGCCAGATGGAGGAAGGATCAGGAGAGCACGTGGTGGTGGACGTGAACTACTTCCCGTCCTTCAAAGACGTGCCCGACCACCTCCCTATCCCTCTCGAGTCAACTCCCAAGTCACGCACCCCTTTGCTTTGCCTGCACTGTGTCCCTTAAACCCACCAGGTGCAGGAGGGCACAGGAGAGCACGTGGTGGTGGACGTCAACTACTTTCCCTCCTTCAAAGACGTTCCCGACCACCTCGCCATCCCGGCCTTCCACACCGCCTGTGCCTCCCGCTGCCTTGTATAGGACAGCCAGCCAGCAGCACCCAGTAGTACACTCAACTCAGCTAAGATCTCTTGACGTGGTGGTCGGATGGAGGATTAGATGGGAGTTCGGGTTGGGCTGGTTAGGTGTAGGGAAGTGGGGGGAGAGGGCTGTGCCAACGACAGAGTTGATCCGAGCTTAGTTTTGCCCGTCCTGTGCAAGTGTCGTGATGCTGATGGTGGTGGTGGTGATGGTCGCAGTCACAATAAAGAGCTGTAGCGCGTGGGCTCACACGCTGTGGGAAACGTGAGGGGGGAGAACTTGAGGTGTGCGAGAGAAGAGGACTCGTGTTCTGTGGCTTGTGACTTCTGATGCACGGCTGCCCTTGCCTGCTGGCTGTGTGCTGTGCTGTGTGGCCATGCCTTACCTGGCACCGTAGATACCAGACCTGCCGAACAGCTTCTTGCCTAGTTGTGTTGTGCTTGTTTAGCACGGTACTGCTATAGCCTCTCATAAACATATGAGTGCTTGCATATATTGTATAGTTCTGTACTTGCATGTAGTGATATATATTTACGGTAAATGTAATTCAGGGAAGTGTCGAGTCTTGCAAGGCTGCTCTTGATGTTTCACTGTCATGCATTTCCACTTACTGCAACTAGATACATATTAGTAACAGCTATAACCTTATTTCTAAGGGCGTGTAACTTTTTCGCTTTTTGAAGTACGGACGGATGGCCCGTACGGACTTCGAAGGGGTTACTAGATTCGCCCACCTTCGTCAACGATTTCGCCACATCCCGTGCGACGTCGCCAACGTCCGGACCAAAACTGTCACTTTCACACCTCCCCAGCGTCCGTTCAACCATTCTGACACTGTCCGGACAGCCGTCCGTACTGTCTTACTGTTCTGGCATCCCATTGGCGCACGAAATCAGAATCGCAGGTTTCTGTGCGACTCGATTTCCCACGCCCCATTGCCAACCGAATTTGACGTGGCACCTTGTCGGGGCGCGGATTCGAGTTGGGCGACTTTGACGAGAGGGTTGCGACCGTGGTAATGTGTGTTACTTGTCGCATGTATTTTAAATTTCGAAAACAGAAAAAGTTCCACAAATGTGGTACGGACGGCTCCACGTCCGTACCACATTCCCAAACGTACGGACGGGGCCCCACCCGTATGATTGGGGGGCTCCGACCGTACTTTTGACGTAAACTGAAAAAGTTACACACCCTAAACTCAATTTACCTGCAGAACTTCACTGCTCTCCTATTCCTACCGGTACTCCTACACCTACGGTATGTACGGCAAAGCAGTCAAGCCAATTTGAATTCTGCTGCAGCTCCCCAAGGCCCCCTTTCCTCCCCGCAGTGGCAATTCATACAAGCAGAGGCTGAGGGGCAGACGAGTTAACCAGCGACCGGAACCAGTCAGCGTTAGTCGTGTCGTGAGACCAGCTGCTTCTGAGAATTCTCAAAACCAGCTGATTCATACGAGCAGAGGCTGAGGGGCAGACGCATTAGCGATCACCCGGACCTTGTCAGCGACAGTCGTGTCCCTCACAAACCACACATGGGACTCCCCAGGCGGCACAACAGTGCCGCACCGCGCGTTGACTGGGTTGACCACTCCAGACAAATGGTAGTGGCGCAGGTGAGTTTCAGCATTGAGCACCACGCCGCCTGTTTGCGGCTCTCTGACCATGTGGATAGACATCACTGACGTCTGCACAAGGTTGGGGTGGGGGCAGAATCGGGCGGACAGGGGCAGGAGGGTGTGAGTCATGAGGGAGGTGGAGATGGCATGTGGGAGGCGGCTCTCTGACCATGTGGATGGACATCACTGATGTCTGCACAAGGCGGCATGGGGATGGGGGACAAGGAAAAATTGAGTTTTGAGGCGCCTCAAAAGCGGGCTCCCTGACCTTGTGGATAAACATCACTGACGTCTGCACAATGTGGTATGGGGATGGGGCGGAGCAATGTGGGATGCCGCGCAAGGGAAATATTGAGACGTAAAAAACCGAATTTCGAGACTCCCCAGTCCATTGATTCAATTCAACTAGAGCAGAGGGAGCAACGGGAACCAGCGGAATAACTATCACCCTTCCTGCTATCCATTAATTCTCTGTTTTGAGGCACCTCCAAACACACCTGCCATGCTGCCTTCTCTCCCACTCCAATTTCTTCCCTCTCCAATTTCTTCTCTCCCCTCATCTCCCGGCCTCTCCCCTCTCCAATCATTGCCTCGCGTATACCACTCCCACTGCCATCTCTCTCTTCTCCGCGCACATTCCTGGGGTTGACAATGACCTTGAGGTTGCCACGCCAGTCCTCACACACCGACTTTTGAGACGTCTCAAAAAACCCTCATCACCTCTCATCCCGCACTCCCATCCCTCTCCTCTCCTCTCCTCTCCTCTCCTCCCCTCTCCTCTCCTCTCCTCTCCTCTCCTCTCCTCTCCTCTCCTCTCCTCTCCGCCCACCTTTCTGGGGTTGACAATGACCTTGAGGTTGCCACGCCAGTCCTCACACACCGACTTTTGAGACGTCTCAAAAAACCCTCATCACCTCTCATCCCGCACTCCCATCCCTCTCCTCTCCTCTCCTCTCCTCTCCTCTCCTCTCCTCTCCTCTCCTCTCCTCTCCTCTCCTCTCCGCCCACCTTTCTGGGGTTGACAATGACCTTGCGGTGCCCGCGCCAGTCCTCACACACCGCGGGATCTATGCGCTCCTGCGACCCGTCCTGCATGCACCACACCTCCGGCTGCCGAAACACAAGCCGAGATAACACCTCCACGCCATTCCTCTTAGCTTCTGCCCCCTCCTCCTCTGCCACCGTCGCTGCTACTGCTGCTTCTCCTGCTGCATCCATCTCAACCCCCTCCCCGCGACGTGCTTGCATTTCACCAGCACCTCCACTGCCGTTCCTCCCTGCACTCCCCACCACGCCCCCCGCGTCGTCACACACAGATAGATCCACGACAAGGGCTCCGTGGGAGAGCCAGGGCGCGTCGCGGTGGGTGGCGAGGAGCGAGGGCAGGGAGTGCGGCGGCACGGGCGCGAGGAACTCGTCGGTGTCGTGCAGAGTCACCCAGCGGGACGTTGCCAGCGAGCGGAATATGCAGTCGTTGCCCGCCAGGGTCTGTTGGGAGGAGAGGTGCGATGGGGGTGTGGTGTGGAATGCGGTAGTTGATGCTTTGGCTGCGGTACTGGCACCGGCATGTGCTATTCGCGGCTCAGGGACTAGGAATTCGTCAGCATTACTCGTAATCACCACCCACCAACCCACCTGGTGTTTAGACAAGAACCCCTTCGGGCCCGATCCTGCACGAAACCCAAGGCTATCCCCTCCAGACATGTCCGTGATCTCAGCACTCCCCCCCGCGAAGTATGGGCGGAGCCGCAGACTTTTGAGTCAACTCAGTACCCACCTGGTGTTTCGACAAGAACCCCTTTGGTCCCGTCCCCGCATGGAACCCCAGGCGGTGGCCAGCAGACATGTCCGTGATCTCGGCGATCCCCGCGGTGAAGTAGGGGCGGAAGAGGTGGGAGAGCATGGGCGTCCAGGCAGCCATGTCGTAGAAGAGGAAGCGGTGCACGGGGGTGTTTAAGCGGTGGTACTCCACCCACGCCCACACCACGCCCGCGTCTAATGCTCCGTATAGCGGCTGGGAACACCACGTGAGGAGCACGGGGAGAGCGTCGTCTGGTGGCGGTTCCAGCGGCTAGGTTGTTGTGGGGGGGAAGGTGAGTGGGGAGGGGTGGGAGGGGGGTGGAGGGGGGAAGTTGAGTTGGTCGTTGTGGTAGGCTATTGAGGCGCCTGAAAAGGCGTCCAGGCAGCCATGTCGTAGAAGAGGAAGCGGTGCACGGGGGCGTGCAAGCGGTGGTACTCCGCCCACGCCCACACCACGCCCGCGTCCAACGCGCCGTCTGGGGGGGACGGGGAGAGCGTCGTCTGGGGGGGGTTCCAGCGGCTGGGTTGTTGTGGGGGAAAAGCCGGGGGGAGAGGGGTGGGGGGGAAGTGGGGGGGTGGGGTGGGGGTGGAGGGGTTGAGTTGAGGATGGGAAGAACAGGGAGGGGGTGGAGGGGTTTAGTAGACCCCCCCCCCCCACACACACAAATGCGCGCGCGCGCACACACACACACACACGCACGCACACACGCGCGCGCGCTCGCACAGACACCAATCGCACTCATAGTGTGAGGCACGTCTGCCATACTGTATGAGCAAACTGACACACAAACACACTCCCCAACCGCGCTTCTTGCAATGATTTCTGTGAGCCATCCCCGTACCCGTTCCCGCCTCTACCGCATATCACCTCATCATATCAGCCCCAACACCTCTTCCCCCAGAGCTCACCTCGCCCACACCTCACCTCCCCCAGAGCTCACCTCGCCCACACCTCACCTCCCCGGGCTCCTCAGTGTAAAAGGCAGCCTGCACGTCATCCATGGTCATTGCCAGGTAGCCGCCCGCCTGAGACGTGTTGCCTGCCAGCTGGCAAAACGCTGCTAACGCGTCAGTCTGCAAGGGGGAGGAGGGGAGGCAGGGTTAGGTTGTGTTGCTAGCACGTCAGTTTGCAAACGGGTGCGCATGATCAAGGGGATGCGGATACAGTGGGGGTAAGGATAGATTGATGAAACCATGCAAACACACGCAAACCATGCACACCGTGCAATGACCTGCTGTGAAGCACGCACATGGTGCACTGAATGTGCCTGCGTAAGGACATAAGTGGAGGCAGCCTGCTGACCTTGGATTTGGGACGCATGAAGTCCCTGTACAGCACTGTACCGTTCAGTCTGCTCCCGTCTCGCCCCACCCATCGACAACCCTCTCCCTCCTTCTGCCATAGGAAATCGAGGCTGCTTATACCGAGTACGACGAAGCGGGAGGAACTGATCCGATACGCGCTGAGGGGTTGGAGAAGAGGACAGGAAAGGGAGGACAGGAAAGAGATGACAGGAAAGGGATGACAAGAAAGGAGGACAGGAAAGGGAGGACAGGAAAGGGATGACAGGAAAGGAGGACAGGAAAGGGATGACAGGAAAGGGATGACAGGAAAGGAGGACAGGAAAGGGAGGACAGGAAAGGGATGACAGGAAAGGGATGACAGGAAAGGAGGACAGGAAAGGGATGACAGGAAAGGGATGACAGAAAAGGAGGACAGGACAGGGAGGACAGGAAAGGGATGACAGGAAAGGAGGACAGGAAAGGGATGACAGGAAAGGGAGGACAGGAAAGGGAGGACAGGAAAGGGATGACAGGAAAGGGATGACAGGAAAGGAGGACAGGAATGGGAGGAGACGGTTGGGTGGCAACGAAGCAACTGGCAGTAAGGCAGCACGAGGATTAAACCGCAAGACCTGAAATGCACGAGAGGCTTAACATGACACGTGAACCATTCCAAGCTAGCACTGAAGGTACTAGCATCTGCAGATGGCAACTAACCTGTAGAACCTAAGGACCGAGCAAGTCGTACCTGAACTGGTACATGAACCCTCTCTGCTGGTACGTGCGCTGCTTCCACTGCCCCGCCTCCGCCTCCAGCACACTCGCTACGTTCCCGTCCGACTGGTTCCGCCGGTGCCTCGCTTCTATGCTGTCCGTGTAGCGCTGTTGCCACACGCACACATGGCCGCACACACGCAGACGTAGGGATGCAAAGGGTTACGAGGTTATGCATGCGAGTGGGAGAGTCGCGAAGTGGGGGAGTGGGTTGAAATGGCCGACTGCGGCGATGCGAAGCAGTAAGTCTGAATTTTCTGACTGTTTTGCTTTGCCACAGACGTTCCGGAAGCCTACTACTCCTTCGGCAATGCGAGTGTGGCTCGGAGCATCCCGAGGCATGTCGACGCACAGCCATCTCGAGAACCTCTTGATCCCGTAACCAGGCGATTTCTGGGTCGATTTAAGAATTGTAGACAGCGGTTCACCCACCGTTAGTTGTTCCGGCGTCGACACCTCGCCCACCGCACCCAGCGGCTGCTCCCCGAGCGGCGCTTCGCCGCTCGCCCCCCCGCCTTCTCCGCCGCTCCCGCTGGCCGCTTCATACGCGACTGCCTGGGTGGCTAATATGGCGGACACGTTGCAGGCGGATGCAGTGCCGTTTGGCGCGGCTTGGCGCGCAACGGCGGAGGGGAAGCGGGAGAGGAGGAGCGGGGAGAGGAACGGCGCGAGCGTGTTTTGGAGGAGGATCTGCCTGTGGAAGGAGGGGTGGAGCGGAGAGAAGAAGGAATCGAAAATGATCGCTGGAATCGCTCCCATCGTTGCTCAGCATGAGTCGCTGCGCCGCCCCGCGCATCGATCATCTAGGGTAGCTGGCACGGGCTTTTTCATCACGAAGGCACGAGAGGCAGGTTCCGAGACGGCAGGGGCTGTGTTCCCTTGGCGGGCCGAGGCGCGCTACATTGTTAGCTAGCTGTCGGATGGCGCTCCAATTGCAGTCGAATATGCATACTGTTACATCCATAGTACGGTTGCATGCATATCCGGTAGCTTGTTACTCTAGTAGTTGTGTGGAACAATGCGGCACCTATCAGTCCGTCGACGCAGTGACTGGAGTTGTAACGGTACTAAAACTACACGCACCGCGCACACCAGCAGCGAAACGAGGACGCCCAGCGTGGCCGTCACGTGCGCGCCCCACGCGCGCTGCGAGCTTTTCCATAGAGGGCACGGCATCATCTGCTAGCACCCCCGCCGCTGCTAGGAGCACTTAGTAGCTTCTGGCCTAGGCCTGAGACTGGGAGAGGACGACGACAAAAAATCGCGTTGTTTTATTCTGGAAAGAGTCTTTCTCGACTCAATACTACGTTCAACTCTGCTTATCGTGTGACTCAGGAAATTTGGAAGTAACCTTCCTTCTATCTACCTATCGATACGGCGACACCCTCCCATGGTAGATGGCAGCAATAGCAAAAGCGACGGACCAGCCAGGCTGGAACGAGAGGGTGGTTGGGATGGGAGGGAGCAGCCTTGCATACATGCATACGTCCGTGTGCCGGCGTGAGTGATCACACACACACATGGGGTGCGAGGCGCACGAACACATTTGGCTGGTTGCTTTTGGTTAGGCCAACAGGAGGGAGGGAATGACGAACCGCGGTGCTTGCTCGACCCCAATTCCAACGGGCAGTGGTTTTCCCACTACCCCCCTAACGCGACCGCGCCCGATTCCCGCGGTCAGTTTTTCCCATCAATACTGATCTTGTGGTTTTTTACGACTTTTGACATGGCTATCGGTTTCTGCCCGTGGCTACTATTCCAACTGAATTTCGCGACCAATCATTACGCCGCCCAGGGAGCTTTCGGATCAGTCTGGCAGAATGATTACAAATAGGTTCATTCCTTCGATCACGGAATCACTGTACCTTTTTATCCGGGCGCTCGGCTTTCCCGCCACTCACGTTCGACGCGTGGCCCGTGAACAACACGTGAAACACTTCAAACTTTCCAAACCGCTCAATCTCGCGCGCGGAGCGAAATTGACGCCAGAACTTTCACACCCGCCACTGTCGTTGCACCAGAGAGGTCTCACTAACGCCCCGTGAAGCACTGCTGGATGTCCAAATCGCTGCCACTGTCGAGCGCGCTCAGTTTCCCGCCGAGGAAATTGCATCCGCCCCACCTTTCGCCCCCGAATCAACTGCTGTTCAGTCATCAACGTACAGTTGTGGCCATACCGAACCATCGTCAAGAGCAGCTTAGGGGGTGGGTTTCTAAGTTGTATGCGAGTACCCTCCATTGGCATCAGATGTGACGATATACTTTCAACACCCAGCAGCAACCATGTCGGAACCACCTGACCGCGCCGAGCGTATAGCGAATAGTATCTTAGAGGCAATGCGAAACGTCCCCCCCGTTCCGGAAGCACAACCAAGAGCCCCTAGAGATAATGCCCCACTGACACAAGGTGCAATATACTCCTCGAGGGGTGCGGCTCTAAAGGCGGTGCAAGCCTTCGCGTTGCGGCATCGTTTTGGATTCGGGACTGTCGAGGTGGCGGATGCCCACGTGATCCTCCAATGCAAAACCGCCATTCATGGAGTCAAGCCCATCGGCCCTTGGGAATGCAGTTACAGTAAGATTGTACGTGGTGGATTCTGGGAAGTGACGTCGCTTTCCCCCCCTGAAGCTCACATCTGCCGCAAATTCATGCGAGAGCAAGGAGCAAACCCCATCGCCAACAGCATCAAGGTCATGAAGCGTCAATGGGGCAACCTTGTTCGTGGCGCACCTTTCATTTCGGCGAAGACCTTGCAGCAGATTCTCTCGGCCCACAGCAAGTTTGTCATCAGTTACAAGCAGGCGTGGCGGCTGCGTGAGGCAATCCAGAAGGAAATGTACGGGGATTGGCAGGAGTCGTTCAGGTTGCTACCGGAGTTGGCTCGCAGGTTCGAGAAGAACGATCCGTGTGGAAAGTTCAAGATTCAGACGGTCGACGGATGCTTCCACCGGATGTACATTCAGCCGTCCGCATCCCGCGGTGCGCTTGGTTTTTGCCGCCCCGTTGTTGCACTAGACGGGACCTTCCTAATCAGCGCTCAACGCGCAACCCTGCTCATTGCCGTGGTCCTCGACGGTAACCAGAAGATTCTGATGCTGGCGTGGGCTCTGGTCGAAGGAGAGAACAAAGATTCGTGGTCCTGGTTCCTGCAACACTTTCTGGAGAGCTTCCCGGAGTGGCCGCACCGTGACGATGCATCTATTATCAGCGATCGCGGCAAGGGCCTGATTCCTGCTGCACGAGATGTACTTCCGGCTGGCATACCGCATTACTTTTGTGCTTGGCATCTCCATCAGAATGTTGTGAAATTTGGAGAGGCTGCTGCTCTTTTCTATTGGCGTCTTGTGAAGTGCAGGGACTTGGACAAATGGGACGCATTGGTTGCAGCAGGCCGCCGTGACTTCAAGGAAATGATCAACTATCTACTCAGGGTCGAGAAGCCGAACTCGGGTCCAGCTCCGGCAGATGCTGCAGAGCAGCAACGTCCCGCTCCCACAACAGCGGCTGAAGCACGTCAACAAGCTGCAGAGAACCGCCACCAGGGTCGTGCAGCAGCGCGTGCCGCCAGGGGTTTGGGGACCACATCACGTGCGCATGGTCGTGGGGCGGGTGTCGCGAGCGGGCCGGCTGCCCCATCTCCTGAACCACAGCCTGCACCAACCGCAAGCACATCTGCCCCGACGGCTGCGCCGGCTGAGCCCCCGGCCACAACCGAGCCGCCCAGTCGTCCCTCAGGCTCGACGACTGCAGCCTCACGACCCTTCGACTATGCTCGCATCGCGCGACTCGTAAGGACAGGTTACATCCCCAGCAGCATCCGGACGGGCCCGCCATTTGCAACAGGATCAAGCGGGCACTCGGGCCAGGGGGGAGAGGAGCAGGCTGGGGGAAATACCTGCCAGGCACTGGTCGTTGTCACTCTGGACCACCCGTGGCCGGATGTCGGTAGTGGCCCCCCCTGTGTGAGGGTTGAAGCCGACATTGAGGAGGACGAAGAGGAGGAGGCTGATGCAGAGGAGGCAGAGGCAGATGATGCGGCTGACCCAGCGGCAACAGAGAGGAACCAGGCGGGGGCAGACGAGGACGCCGAAGATAACACGCCTGAGGCCGGTGTCTCGGAAGGGGACCATACTTCACGCGTGAGGACAGGGTTTAGGCAGAACAAGCGTGGTACGAGGAAGAAGCTGGGCATCAACCTCGTCCACTGGACATGCATTAAGGCCCCAACCCGTCGCTTTGGGATCTTTACGAGCAACGCAGCAGAGCAGGTCAACAGCTCAATCGTGCCCATTCGTCGCTTGCCGGTCACCCCTCTGCTCGGGGGTCTCTGGGACTGGTATTGGGATAAGTATTGTGAACGCAAAATGGCTGCGCGGGAGAGAACTGCTATACTCACGGAAGCAGCAGAGGAGCGGATGGTGCAGAAGGAGACCCGGGCGGAGGGGTACGAGCTACTGGGCGGGGATCTTGAGGAAGGAACCATCCAGACCAGGGACACCGACGATCCCAAGGAATGGAGGTCCTTCAACGTCAACATCAACAGTGAAGTGAGGACCTGCGACTGCTCAAACTGGGACCAGTACCAGTTTCCTTGCTCCCATGCCGTTGCCTTTGCTCTGAAGCGAAAGCTAGACCCGCGCACCCTCGTTTCCGACTTCTACACCACGAAGAACTGGGCGGAGACGTATTCTTCAACGGTGCGGGGTTCCTGCGTGGACCGCATCGTCCTTGGGAGGAAGCTGGCCGCACCAGGCGAGTGCGATGCTCCACCCTTTCGGCGCACGGCAGCCGGCCGCCCGCCGAGCTACGCACGCGTCGAGAAGGCTGTGCATCCGTACAAGTGCAGCGTTTGCCATCTCCACGGTCACACTAAGAACCGCTGCATGGGCAAGTATGGTGGCAGCGCATACCCGGAGAGGAGGAGGTACCGTAAGCGCCCAAAGGGGCGAAAGTCCTATCGCGAGTCAGCACCTTTTGCGGGCACCATTTGAGATTTGTGTGGAGTCAATAAGTTAGGGTAGTTTCGACATGGGTTAGAGTAGATGATGTAGTGGTGGATGTAGGAACACGTTGTCCTCGTCCGGAGTCTTAGTATTAGTTTAGATATGCCACACCAGCACAACATGTAATAGCCTTCTTAATAATATTAGTAATAGCCAGAAACATGGAGGAAGACCATCAGTCGTCCTGGAAGCGACTGTGAAATCCAAGCGACTGTTTGGCAACAATCTACTAGCTTATGTGAATCCACATATCTCCGAAGTCCCTACTATTCGCATGCACAGATGGTAGTCAACGACCCGTGGGCAAACATTGAAAACATTGTATGAATTGTCACACCGAGGCCGTACCAAAACTGTCACAAAACCGTGAGCAAACAGTGAGGACGTTGTCAACCATTTCGTTCTTGCCTTATCACATGGATACTCCCAATGAGAGATTGCTGTGGGGGTTGTCACGCGCGATCGAAATCTTTGTGAATGCTCTCTCTAGCACACGTAATCTCACGGGCCACATCTTGCCCCGAATAGTACAGCAGTTTATTAGGCCCTCGCGATTCCATTGGCTAACACATCCAATAGTCAACCAACCTTGACCTCGTCGGTAGCTCGCGAAAAACCCGTGATGCCTCAACTGATAAATAACACGCACGCGCTTGCGACTAACCGCCGTTGGAAATTTAGTACACCCTCAATGAAGCCGTTGCGAGCTGATACAATTTAGAGTCCAGAGAATCGCGTGTGGATACTAACTGACACAATACTCCACACATAAACGTATGAACAAACTAACACCGGTACAACCCTAACTCCATGTGCACCAGTGCTTTATTAATATGTAATCATGTGTCCAAGAACAACAGTGCTACGTTCCGTGCTGCCTGTAACCAACACAGGCTATGACACATTACTTTAACCTAACACCAGCAAAAACCAACGGCGCTACATATGAGTGTGATGTGGAAAGCCAAGCAATCCCTCGGCATGCCACGCTCTAACACACCACAAGGCAAAGGCAGTTCGGCCGGCGGTCTAGGAAAGTCAGCACAGCCCAAATACCAGACAGAGCACCTCCTGTCTAAAGGCCGTCGGCTACACCTTTGTCTGTCTCCTTCGCTTGGAGCTGCGACGACACGGCGGCTGAGCCGAGGTTTGCGGATCTACCGACACCGTATCAA